CGATAGTGGTCGACGACCGGGTGGAGAGCTGAAGGAGATAGTTAGAGGGTGTTTTGCTAATAGTAGTCGAGCGTGAAGCTTTAGATGACTGATATGAAGCGAAGGACTGATGACAGACATCAGGCGAAGAACCGATGATGGCGGTGGTTATACTAAAGGAAATATATATCCATATTGGCTTGGGCGAACATCAGACATCCCTGATGGAAGGGGTCTAAGCAGTGTGCCCTCTTAGTAGAGTGGCTACACATTAATATCAATTTAGTGGAAGCCCGATGATGTCATATTATAATCTTTCTTTGAAGAAAAAGTTGTAGGATATGCTTTATGCAGTAGAGAAGAGCTTAATAGAATCCATCAATGATATTTGACCTTTTTGAAGTTGTTTGTTACTTAATAGCATTAACTTTACAGATGATGCTAATGTAATTTTAATTTCAACTTTTTATAAAAATGAAAGTACACTTAAACATGATATAGAATTTTGTTATATAAATCTAATGATATTGTCTATGAAATTGAGATTATTGTATGAGCTCAATATTTATTTTTCACTTAAAATGAACATGCCCCTTAGAGGAAACTAAGTCGTTTATGCATTTTTGAGATATGCTTTGATATATTTTCCATGGGTTAGAGCAATTAGATTAGAGGAATTTATCCCTTTTACAATTTTTATTCTTCTGAGATTTTTTAAATAATCAAAGAAGTGTATATCTTTTGAGGCTTTAAGCCTTCTGAGTTTTTGATGTACTTGTGCCTTTTGAGCATTTTAGCATGTTGTTGTATTTTTATATCTTTTTATACCTATGTCTTTTGAGATTTTTTAGCATGCTAAGGTCATTGTATACCTATGCCTTTTGAGGCTTTTTAGCCTGCTAAGATTTTTTTTTACCTACACCTTTTGAGGCTTTTTAGTTTTTTAAGATATTTGAATAAGTGATGATTATACCAACCACTTACTCTTATGGAGTCTTTTTAGCGAGGACCTCATCCATTATTAGGTTTTCTTTGAGGCTACCTTATAGGTGAGGCTTCTTGGATCAGTTGCTTGTTAAAATATTGCTTTGTATTGAAAAGAATGAGAAAATCCACAATATATGTTTGACCTATCAAAGGTTATTTGTCTGAGTATTACTCGATGATGTTTACCTGTATAGAAGAGACTGAGAGAATCTACTAAGGATGTATGACCTATCTGATGTTATACTTGTATAGAAGAGATTGAGAGAATCCACCAAAGATGTATAACCTATCCGAGGTTATTTATCAAAGCATTGCTCGATGACATTAACTTGCGTAGAAGAGGCCGAGAGAATCCATCAAGCATGTATGACCTATTCGAGATTGTGTGTCAGAGCATTGCTCGATAACATTAACTTATGTGGATGAGGTCCCCCCTGGCATCGATTATGCTTTAATTAGGAGAGGGAGAATGCCGTGTGTATCCCAAATCAAAGGTGAAGAATGACCTATCTTTAGACAGTTATTGCCTTTTTTAGATCGATATTAAGATCTTTCGCAAGGAGTATAAGTCCAGTTAGGGACTATATAAAGCTTATAATTTATTGAAAGAATCCTTGCATGTACTGAGAGTTTCTTGAAATATTATCATGGATGTTGAAAGTATTAGAGCAATTTTCGACATGATTACAGTCAAGGTTGCCCCTAAATTTCATTTGATTCCCATGAAATTAATGCAGTAATGACTTATGCTAGAATATTGACATAAATGATCTTTTGAGGTTGGAGCAAAAAGTGCCCCCCCAATAAAGAACAATGTTCTCACAGACAACATCTTACGTTCTGGATTATTCACTACAATAGAGAAATATAAAGTTTAATGTATTAGCTTTGTATGAAAGTCCATCATATGATCAGATAAAAGAGAGGGTGTAACGTTCATAAGCGACACTAGAGGTTTTACGTGGAAACCCTTAAAAATGGGAAAAAACCATGGGGCCTGCCCTAATTTGAATTAATCCACTAGTGTTTGTAATTGATTACAAATGAGGTTCTTCCTTGGGGGGAATATCTTGGTTTGATGTAGTAAATATACATCATATAAAGTATATTATATGGTGGGAATTTGAAGAATCAATATTGATATGTCTGTTTGGTTGATAAGACCATAATTGGCAGAAGACTGAGATTAAAAAGACCATATTCAAATGACGGTGGTTGAAAGAACTTTAGTTGGCAGGAGACAGAGGTCGCAAAGACTGTTGTCAGGCGATGAAGGTTGGAAGGACCATAATCGGCATTCGACAAAGGTTAGAAAAATCGTTATCAGGCGATGAAGGTCGGAAGGACTATAGTCAGCGGACGATGGAGGTCGAAAGAATTGTAGTCTGGTAATAGAGATCCAAAGGATAATAGTCGACAGACGATGAAGGTCATAAAGATCATAGTTTGACGATGGAGGTCGGAAGGACCGTAGTCGGCAGGTCACAATGGTCAAAAAGACCATTGTTTGGCAACAGATGTCGAAAAGATTGTAGTCGGTGGGAGATAATGGTCAGAAATACTGTTATCTTGAAAACAAGGTGGGAAGGACTGTAGTCGGCAGGTGACAGTTGTCAGAAAAACCATTATCTAACGAAGGAGGTTAGAAGGATTATAGTCGGCAGGCGACGATTGTTAGAAAAACTGTAATCTGGTGACAATTATCAGAAGAACTATATTCAGCAGACGACGAATGTCAGAAAGATCATAATTTGATGAAGGAGCTCAGAAGGACTGTAGTCGGCGGACGATAGTGGTTAGAAAGACTATTGTCTGGCAACAAAGGTCGGAAGGATTGTAGTTGGCGAGCAATAATAGTCAAAAATACTGTTGTATGGTGATAGAGGTTGGAAAGACCGTAGCCTGGTGGCACATGTCTAGGGGAACTCCAACAATAATCGATGGTCGGGAATAAGTCTGACAACAATCGGTGGTCCGACAGTGGTCGAGGAGTCTGGTGAAAAGAGAACTCTCTCTCTCTCTCTCTCTCTCTCTCTCTCTCTCTCTTTGTCTCTCTCTTTCTTCTCTTCCTTGCTTCCCCTCCCCCACTTCTTCCCCTCTCTTGCTTGATTTTACTTTTTATGAAAAACGAGGGGTCTATTTATAATGTTTTGGGAGTAGCATAGCCAACAAATAAGAGGGAGATCAAGGGTATGTTGAGAGTGGTTTGAATGGACAACCAATATTAATCTCCTAACTATGGACAGTTTACCGAGTATTTGAGTACCTTAATGATGTCAGAATTCAACATTCTTGGGCTTGTTAGATTTGTCTCGTTGAGTCTCTCGATTCAACTATAAGCATATCAAGTTTGGAAATTGTTTGATCATAAATTTATGGTTTGAAGCTTCCAAAGGTGCTTCGGGTCTTTGATTTGGACCCATTTGGGCTCGGATTGGGTCAAATTTTGTATCGTTGGGTTTTTCTTTTTCGAGACATTTAGTTCGACTATAAGTTTGATAAAATCAAAGTTCTGATGGTCCCTAATTTAATTTTAGATGTTTCCAACTTGATTTTGCCTCGAGTTTCATGCCCAATCATGATTAATTTTTGATGATATATAAAAAATGGATTAGATGTCTTATTCATAATAAACACAATCTTTCTAAATCATTTATAATGATGTTTTATTTTCTAAATTTTATTTTGAATTTTACTATTTGCATATCCAGATAGCAAAAGAAAATTGTTATAAGACGGCCTTTATTGCTCCATTTATACAATTTGAATGGAATGTCATGCATTTTGGGCTTAAGAATGCCCCTTCTCTAAATTTCAAAAGATTATGAATGAAATTTCAATCCTTACTCTGATTATCATGGTTGTGAAAATCAGACCAGACAATGAACCAGTAGGAGAGGTTCACGATTCGACCGGTCGAACTGGATGATGTAATAAATAAAATTTAGATGACATAAAAATCATATAATAATATGTTTTTTTATCATATAATAATATGTATTTTTATAAAAAAAAATAAATTGAATTCACACATTACTAATATCTAGCTTTAATTTTTTTAATCCCACATCACTTGGGGAACTTTTTCTTGGTAATGCTTTTAATTTATATTATCTTTTAAGTAATAATGAAGTAATATCTCACATATAGTGATGAAGCCTTGAGAAATGATTAGTTGAATTTTTCCAATTTAAAATTAAATTATAAATATTACTTAATATTTTAAAATAATTTATTTAATTATTCAAATAATTAAAAATTAGTTTTCTTGAATATTTAATTAAGAACTTGACAAAAGAGCGTTCGAAGCAAATGTTATAATGGCTTTCTCTTGCTTATTTAATTTTCTAAGATCTTTAGAGTATTGATCAGACTGAAGTGTTTCTTTTTTAGTGGTATTTTTCATATATCAATTACAGAATTGTTCAAATTTAGGAGATACATAATGACGGATAACTTTCTCACGAACTTTACTCCCTATTTTGTAAGTCATGGATACTATAATTTATTTCAGAAGGGATCAGAGATCTTTGCCCCTAGTTTGATCTAATTGGTTGAAGAATTTGATTAATATTTACGTAAAGATTGGGATTATCCTCTACAGTAGGTTCTTCCATTGAAGACTTTACTTCTCTAGAAGTAACGGGAATAGAAATTCTATGTAAGGTGATGGATCTTTGAGGATCAAAACATATTTCTACATCGCCTTCAAAAAATTGGATGATTTGTTCTACTTCCTGATTTATGTTGATTTAGGTGTTATGGTAGCTGCTAATATCCAAGATTCAGGGAAGCTAATTTCATTCCATCTGATAATCCTATTGGTAGCTATAATATTGGAGGTTATAAGATTAGTTTCAATATGGGATTGAGAGAGATGAGAAAGGAGACCATCGAACTCAAAACACATCACAAAATTTAATTTGCATTTGAAATTGATTGATTTAGCCGAGTTTTATATATATATCAAAAAAAAAAAAAAAAAAAAAATCTCAAAGCCCTTCTTTCTCCTTCTCTCCATAATTGATTGGCAGTCAGGCTGCTGCAAGCCACCAACCTCTTGCACATACGAGGCCACGGCGATATCAATGGCGGAGCAGGAGGAGGATTGCTACCGTTGGAACAACGCAGCCAACATTCTCTGCTACGGTTGCGACTCCTGTAAGGCCGGAGTGTTGGAACAAGTCCGGCGAGATTGGCATAAGCTCTCTGTTCTCAACGTCGTCGTCGTCATCTTCGTCATCGCCGTCTATGCGCTTGGCTGCTGTGCCTTTCGGAATGCTCGCCGCTCGATCTCCGATCATCCTCATGGTGATAATAGGATGTCGAAGATCAGACCTCAGTGGGATCATTACTGGTACTTTTTTCTGTATTTTTTTTTTTGCATTTTCTTTTGTCGGCTAGTCTTTTCGTCGAACTGCTTGTGTGCTTGGCAATATCTCTTCAAAATTTAAAATTTCACAGCCACGTGTCACTCATGAATCATTTTTGCTGCAGGGGGAGGTGGTGGCAAAATAGAAGGGACCAGCTCTGGTGAGAAATGAGACCTGTCGAATTGGAAGAAGAAGGCTTGCCGCCATGGTTTTGTTTTCTGAAGCTTCTGTTTGTTTTTGTGTACAATTTTGCAAAGACTAAAAAACACTTTTGCAGTTTGTATTTTTTGGGTTTACTAATAGTTAAAAAATATATATTTGTAATTATATTCCTAATTAAATCTGAGAAAAAGAAGAAATAAAGTTTTATCTTATTCTTAAAGTTAGGGTTATTTGGAATTTTAGTAGAAAAAAAATGCATTTGGATTTTTTCGTAACTAAAATTCTGAATGATAAAATAATTTAATTGATATAATATTGCACTTTTAGTTGAGTTGTAAATTTCTGTCAGAATTTGGTTCGCCAATTATTTCACTGTTCATAATTCTTTTCTTGCCCATTTATATTTTATACTTTGTTACTGATAAGTAGTAAAAAATAACTTAAAATTGGACATGAATTTTAACATATATTTAAATTAAAAAAAAAATTCAGAATTAAATTCTAGATCATTCATAGTTTGATTTTAACAATCTCATAGTCGAAATGAACGACTCACCCAGAAAAACTCAATGACATCAAAAGTGATACAATGAAAGTACAAATGAGCTCAGTCATGCACTTGAACCTCGATAAAAAATTTCATCATATTAATTGAATGATCAAATAATCTATATAAATCTTGCATGCTTATGTTAAAATAAAGTGTCTCGATGATAATAATTCAACGAGCTAAAAATCTTCTAATTCTAACATCACCAAAGCACTTTAATGCTGAAAGAATAAATTATGATCGAGAGAATCAACATAGGTCATCCAACAGAGTATTCTATATTTTGGTTATATACATGGGGCATGACACACCAAAAAATTTTTAAATAGGCCAACATTCTCTACATAAAGGAGGGTTTGAACATTGGCTTGAGATTAAAAAAAGCTCAAAGGCCTGCAAAATCACGTACTCCATTGGAACATCACCATCAGACTAATGCTCGACTAACGTCATTAGATCACAATCATCCAACTATGATCTTATGATCAATGTCGCACAATTATGGAATCTCAACCATCATCTTTTGTTGTAATCCACTAACTACATCGTCAAACTACAATCATTCGATCACCATCACTTGACTATGATTTATTGACCATTAACACTCAACTATACTCCTCTGATTATCATTACTAGGCTGCAGTCCTTTGTCCATTGCTACAAGATTATGGTCATCGGATCACCATTGACCAACTGCAGTTATTCAATCACCGTCAACCAACCATAGTCCTCCAACCCCTGTCGCTTGACCAAAACCTTTTAAGCAATATTGCTTAACTACGATCTTTTAAACCGCATCACCTGACTATATCCCTTCAACCACCATCGCTCGACTAAGTCTTTTGACCATTATTGCTTGAATACACTGATGCCCACTAGCTTTGTCATATATGACATTGTCAATATTGCCAACACAAGCCATCACACATCAGGCCGATGCATGTTGCCATTACCAACTTTCATGATCAACATCACCAAAATTAATGCTAAATTTATTGGTCTCTTGCATGCCATTCTCAAAGGAGATGACCAAACATACAACAATTGATATCTTTAAAACAACTTCTATAGAGGAACTTTCAAGTTCAACTATGAAATTTATTATATATAATTTATATTTACTTTATTGTATCTATCCCATTTCCAATAATTAGAAAGCACATCATTCATAACCAATGATAAATTTAGTAGAATCATTCAACTGGACCATGCCTTGTATTTTTTCCCTTTTTGAGTTTTGACATAAAAAATCTTAATGTTTTTTGTCCTCTGTAATCTATATGTGTAATGGATCTTCATTATTATATTTTGGCCATTAATAATTATTTATGTTTAATTATTTATTACTTGATATATAAATGAATTAAAAAATAAATAACAAAAAAGATAAATTTAATATTTTAATAAAAAAAAATAAAAATTTAAAACTCAAAACTTCAACATATAAACATAATAGTTACTTAATGTTGTATGTAACAACTACACCATTATTATAATTGCCAAAGATAAAATTTTTTGCATACTAAAATGTCCCACTGATCACAATGATAGATTCAAAATAAAACGCCCTAAGATCTAAATTGCAAAAATTGTCTATTAAATTTCTTAATTTATCTACAAGAGCCTCTAATTTCCCTTTAATATAAAGATTAGCGAGCATAAGCAACTCATGCATAAAAATATTTCACTATTTTTATTTAACAAAATTTAATTTATACTAAATAAGAGATCACATACAATATCAATCTATCTCACTAGATTCCTGACTATAAAAGAAAAAAAATAAAATATAGAGAATTACTAAAGGAAAAATGCACATTATCAGCATACAAAATCCGTCAGAAAATACCAAAAATCCATCAGAAATTAGCATTTTTAGTGTATTTCTGATAATTTTTTTTTACGATAAAAAGTGAGTCGAAAAAAAATTTTACTGGTGCAAATTAATCTGTCTAAAATATTTTCAGTGGAAAAAACATCAGAAATTTGCACTACAGGAAGAACAGCCAATACCGGCGGCTTTGACTGGTGGTGGATCTTCATTATTATATTTTGGCCATTAATAATTATTTATGTTTAATTATTTATTACTTGATATATAAATGAATTAAAAAATAAATAACAAAAAAGATAAATTTAATATTTTAATAAAAAAAAATAAAAATTTAAAACTCAAAACTTCAACATATAAACATAATATCTACTTAATGTTGTATGTAAAAACTACACCATTATTATAATTGCAAAAGATAAAATTTTTTGCATACTAAAATGTCCCACTGATCACAATGATAGATTCAAAATAAAACGCCCTAAGATCTAAATTGCAAAAATTGTCTATTAAATTTCTTAATTTATCTACAAGAGCCTCTAATTTCCCTTTAATATAAAGATTAGCGAGCTTGCAACTCATGCATAAAAATATTTCACTATTTTTATTTAACAAAATTTAATTTATACTAAATAAGAGATCACATACAATATCAATCTATCTCACTAGATTCCTGACTATAAAAGAAAAAAATAAAATATAGAGAATTACTAAAGGAAAAATGCACATTATCAGCATAAAATCCGTCAGAAAGTACAAAAAATCCATCAGAAATTAGCATTTTTAGTTTATTTATGATAATTTTTTTACGATAAAAAGTGAGTCGAAAAAAATTTTACCGGTGCAAATTAATCTGTCTAAAATATTTTCAGTGGAAAAAACATCAGAAATTTGCACTACAGGAAAAACAGCCAATACTGGTGGCTTTGACCAGCGGTTATATGGCGGCCGGTACAACCGGCGGTTTGCCCGGCGGTCTAGCCGCCGGTTAATACCGGCGGCTCACCTGGTGGTTTTCTAGATTTAGACCGCCGGTAATAGCGGCTGTCGTTTAACCGCAGGATAAATCGCCGGACATTAAAAATACCGGCGGCGTTTCAGCGGCGTAAACCGTTGCTGTTAAGTAAACTCAATACCGGCGACGCGGACAGCAGGAAAGCCGCCGGTACAAGCCCTAAAAATTACCAGGCCTGAGCTTCCCCTCTCATTTCTAATTTCTCTCTTGCTTCGGACTTCCTCTGTGCGTGTCGCCTCCGCCCGCTCTTCGCTCGAGCTAGACGATGTCTCTCCGGTCGTCGAACGCCGTCGACCCCACACCAGTCGTCGTCGAAGCTAGCCGTAGTCGAAGCTTGTCGCCGTCGATCTCAGACCGGCCGCCCTAGGGTTCATGGGAGTTGAAGAAAATCCAAGATTTGAAGGTAAACTTGAAATTTTTCCTGTGATTTTTTGTTCTCACTACACATTTGCTAGAGTTTATTATATAGTATATGATTTAGGTTGTAATCTAGACATTTGCAAAAGGTAATTTTGTAATCAATTGAATTTTTTAAGTGTAATTTTAATAATAATAGATCTAATGGGTTGATTGTGACTTTGGGTGAGAGCAAGATAGCAAGAGAGAGATTGAGAGAGAGAAAAGAGACGAAGAGGTAGAGAAAAGACAGTGAGAGAGGGAGATAGAGAGCAAAAGAGATAGAGAGAGATAGAGAGAGAGAGCTATAAAGAGGGAGAGAGATATATATATAGAGAGAGAGAGCTATAAAGAGGGAGAGAAATATAGAGAGAGAAAGAGAGCAAGTGTAAGAGAGAGCAAGAGAGAGGGAGAGTGAGAGAGAGAGAGAAAAGAAAGAGAGGGAAAAGAGAGAGAGTGAGAGAGAAAAGAGATAGAGGGGGAGAGAGAGAGAGAGCAAGAGAGAGAGCTATAAAGAGGGATAGAGATATAGAGAGAGAAAGAGAGCATACAAGTGTAAAAGAGAGCAAGAGAGAGGGAGAGTGAGAGAGAGAGAGAGAGATAGAAATTAACATCTTTTAAGAAAGTAACCAATAACTATTAATAACGATTCTTTGGTTAGGTTACAATGACTATCTACTCTAATTTGGTTGGATTACATCAAGGATTAGCCTTAAGTCCATATATTTTTTGCTTCAGTCATGAATGTTCTCGCTAGACATTTGCAAGAAGATGTACGAAGTACTTTCCTTAGACTTGACTTATGAAGGTTAACTTTAGAGTCAAAAGGTTTTCGTTTGAGTAGATCTAAAACTGAATATATGGAGTGTAATTTTAGTGGAAATAGACATAGTGAGGGGATTGTGACTTTGGGGCGATTAAATCATTAATAAGATCGTAGTACTTATTGCTGATAAAGAAGGGGATATTATCAATGCTGCACAATCAAATAGCTGACGAAGAACATTAGGAGATGTAAATAACATCCTTTAGTTCACCATATCCAATTTTGTGTCCAAGTTAATTGATGGTCCAAGTTTTAACCATTTTGAGTCATTTAATAAAACATCTAACGATGACTGCTGACTAAACCTAGTACCTCCAAATGGAAGTGCACAATGGGTGTATTAATAAAGTATAACACGTTTACACATGTGCGTGTTCTAACAAATATTTTCATAACTATGTAGGGGGACATTTGCTTCAACGTCCAAATGACTATCCAAAAAGAGAGATGTTGGGTGTATAACAGATTGTTGCTGGTCGAAAAGGATTAATAGTTAAATTTATACAGGGAGTTGAAACTTTCATTCAAGTTACATCTCAACTGCCTTCATTTCAGTTTGAT